TATTAAATTTTTTTTATTTACCCCTATTAGTTAAATTAAAATTACATCTCATTTTTCCAATTAATTCCATTTTGGTGTAAATAACTCCATTTCATTATCCGTTTCATTACATTTTAGTGTTTAGTAGTTCCAATGCATTACATTTCCTAACATTTCAGTATTTATGAAACCCTCACTACGTGTCTCACTGGTGATAAAAATACTAGTCCATCCCTAAATATGCATGTAAAGAATTTACTCCTAATTTAATTTTTACATGCATCCATTTTTGTTATTTTTCGGATTTTACTATTTAATTATTCCAAATTGTATTCATATTTACTACTGAATATGCTATACCTAAATATGCATGTAAAGAATTTACTCCTAATTTAATTTTTACATGCATCCATTTTTGTTATTTTTCGGATTTTACTATTTAATTATTCCAAATTGTATTCATATTTACTACTGAATAGCATTACAAAGCTTAAAGTTGTGAAACGTAAAAAAAAAATAATTACTTTGGTCAATTCACTCATAGTCATACTATATAACCTTGATGTAAAACAACAAATATTAATTTTATTATACTGTAGCATGAAATATAACTTTAAAAACATTACCGAACTAACAACTTAAAACTATGAACACCATATACTGCTAATTATTGCTTTTAATTTTATTAGTTCCATCATAGCTTCTAAACAAAAGTTCTACCTCAGTACCTGGTCTGTGTTAACCTTAAGCCTAACTCCCTAACCTGGACTACTCACTTTGAATAATCTTCTCGTTTCTGAATATGATATTTACGCATAATTTTAACTTCATGCAAGTTATTGTCCACTTCCCAAGATATAAAGTCAACTTTCTTGAGAAGCTTTTTTTCGTGAAACTTCAATTTCCTAACCATTGTTATTTATGTTAATTCAAAATATTTGGTAAACACATTTCTTAGTGAAATATAATAACGTGTGGCGACCTCTCATTACTGTAAAATAAAGAATTAAAAAAATAAATATGCCTACATTTTTAATAAACTATACTCTTCCGATATTTCAAATATTTTTACGAGGGCACGTTCGTATTAGCACTAACAGACCCTTTACCTAAATAAACAGTATGGTCTTAGAAAAATAAAATGTGAATATGAATAATACAAAACTTTAACGTTAGTAGTCATTAGAAATGAATCATTGTTGCCTACAAAAGTACTTTTCCTGAATTATACAATTATTAATCTAGTATTTTTTATTTTTTTTGCTAAACCATTTGAAATTACTGTACTTTAAACTCTATTAGACGTCACGGAATTGTTTTATTGTGGTTGATTCACTTCTCAAGTCACTGTTAAACCTTTGAAATATGGAGATGAATTCAAATAAAGCAAGTTTGTTTGAAAATTGTGGACGAGCATGCCCCAGAGGTTAATGTGCCGTGCTATGGATCTGCGAATCCCCTGTTCGCGTCTCGGTACAGACAAAAAAAAAACATACTCCGCATTTTGGAGCTATGGGTGCGTTATAAGAGTGATAGTAAAATCTAATTATTCTGTCACAAAATGGTAACCCAAGAGTTGGCAGTGAGTACTTTTGACCAACTGTCTTCCGGCTAGACTATCAATCTAAAATTAGATATTGCGCATATAGCCTTGAGTAGCTATGCGTGAATATCTGAAAACGAACAAAGACTTTTAAAATAGGTTTATATTTACTATCAAAACCAAAAGCTGTTAAGTACCAAATTTGATTGAAATTAAAATGATTTAAATCATTCCTAACAGCTACTGGAGGAGTAAATATACAGGGTGTCCGAAAAGACTGGAACCATATATGCACTTTAAATAATTTTTACATAATTTGTTCCACATGCTGTCTTTCTAATTCTAAAGAAGTTTGAATTAACAGCGGGAATAACTTGACTTTCTCGTGCTTTTACAGCGTCATAATCAGTCATGTATCTGAAATTAAGAAAAGTTGCAAATTATGCATGGTTTCAGACTTTTCGGGCAACCTGTAGTTTGCCAGCTTTTGCGGCCACTTTACGACGCACACCGTCTATGACTGCGTTATAGACGCGTATGTAAGCCTATTGAAGTGATTAAAAAATTATGAACTTTTTCAATACCCCCCATTCTCCAGCACCTGACGTTTATCTGCTGTATATATGCGTAAACAAAGAAGAGGTATTGGGGGTCCAGGGCTACCCTCAGCCATACACGTTTAACATTTGTCCAAAAAATATGTACTACGAAAAGCCACATTTAGATAGTTGAACACTAATTTCTTATCTCAACTTCTGTAAAACAATGAGAAATATACTTTTTGTTACTCGCTCAATAACAATGATAATATACACAAAAGACACAGCTTTCTTTCAATTATGGGTACTCTTTGTTTGGCGCACAAATCCAGCCTACGCGTGTAAAAAGTAATATTGACGGAAGTAATGACCTTAATAATTCTTAATATCATAAATATATATACACATATATATATAATAAAAATATTATGCTATTCCCTTATTAACTATGATATATCATTTAGAAATTGATGGATTTAAGTCCTGGTTGCGCGTTTGCCTGTGTAACAGATAATAGCCCTAAAAATATGCATGAATTTTTCAAGACATTTCCCTTGATGCCTAAAGTGAGCAATACTTTCTTCAATCTTTAGGTTGTTTCTTCGATAAATTACATGATTTAGCTACTCCAAATAATAAAAGGCTTAAAGTACTTCAGAACTCACCAATGACTTATATTATTCGTTAATATACAAATGAAAATAATCAAGAAATACTGTAAGAGTAAGGATAAATAAAATTCATTAAAGAGTTAAAATTTTCTCTTTAGGAATAGAACATCAACTGTTTACAACACATTGTAATACTTTTCAATCTTATTGTTGGTAGTGTTTTTTATTAGTTGCTGTGTATCTCTTGTAAAATATTTGCTAAATAATGTTGGCAATTAAATGTTACAAAAATGCTAATGCTTAATTTAAAATCTGCTACAATTAATATATCTATTCTTAATGTTGGGTCGAATTTATCTGCTTACTTCTAGCTAATCGTCATCGGTATAAATGAAGTCGGTATTTAACAGTCAGACAGGTGATTTTGTTGAAAATGATTTGTAAACACAAGATCAAGCAAAGTTCTGGCAATGTTGATATCTACAAAAGAACTCAGCCTCCTTCTACTACCACAGGAGCATCTTCTAACATAGACAGTTCACAATTACTTTAACCTAGTTGGTACTATTGCTCTCTTAGCCTGTCTCCAACCTTCACACTGCTGCTGAATGCTAATAGTACATGGGCTATAGCCAGTTTCGTTCCCAATGCCCGGGCAGGCTGTTGTTGAAACAGGAGCTTCAGAGCTTTTTGTTTTTTTCCTTCATCCCAGAAAATCTAGATAGGATGATGTTGCCAACAACTCAAGAAAGCTTTGACTACAGTTCCCATTCTTGGTTAGGGGGCCAGATGGTCGTTCCTCTGTCAAAGTGCATGTGAACATTCCATATATAAGTGAAAGCTCTGTTGGATCCATTTCTGGTTATCTTATTTTGGGTTGGTTCCATCATCTACTTCTTTCTTCATGCCACAGATTATTTTAAGAAAAGAGACAAATTCTCAAACTATCTCTCACATGAACCAAGTTTAGTCACAACACCAAAATGTTCTATCTAATTAAACTATGATATTCCAGTTAAGTAACTAAAAGAATATGGAAGTTACTCGACAAAAGTGGATGTAAAAGGTATGAGACGACAGTAATGACATAAGATGTACAATATGAAAATAATTGCTTCTTTGTTTTGGACATCCGAGCAGATGCAAAAGAGCTATCTACTCTATCTGTCCCTTATTTTGAACTAATAGAATAAACGAAAAGCAGTTAGTGAACAGTACCCACAATCAACTTTTGGGCTAGTTTAATCGAATAGTGTCATGGCCTCAAAGTGCGACGCACGATTTTTTGTATGGTACTTGGATGTAAACCGTAGACCCTCAGACTGTAGTCGGAAATACAGACTACTCTGTATTTCCATGGGCCCAAACCTAAGATGATTAACTTACACGTTTCTGTGAAAAACAAGAGAATTATTATGCCACAAACAAATTGTAAATGATAAACAGATGTTTTTAATGTTCATAAAGTTTCAGGTATATACCCTTATAAGGATTTTAAACTTCGACAGAATAAAATATTTGCTATTATAAAGGGTTATCAACATTATGGTAATTTAAAAATTAGTATTGATTTGCAACTTATTCGTGTGTATACTTCTTTAGGTCTGTCATACGATGCTCATATTTAATGTTCTATGCTTTATGACCCATTGTAGTATCAGATCTTTCTTTCCATCAAAGTTTAAAATAACCATAAAAAGAACATCCCAGCCCCAAACGTCGTGACCATTAAAACATTTATTTATAATTTACCATTTGTTTTTTCCTTTTTTCGATCTCATTGTACCACAGCAGTTTCTGTGTGACTTTCCAGATTGATGTGGTCTAACAGACCAGCGGCAACTAAGGAAATACAACATCTTTAAGGTATTGGCTTAAAGTGCAATAATGTTCTCTTAAAATACAACTCGTAAGTCTAAAAACTGACAAGAATTTTGACTATTTTAGAAATCAAGTTAGAGAAGGTTAGTCATGGTATTAAGAATATCACAGCATGAAACTTACCAAAATTCATCTGGAGCTATGATCATCTTTATACTTATTTAAAATAATGTCAGGTTTTAGTCAATTAGTATTGAGTGAACCCGGTATTCAATAACTAAAAGTACTTAGCATTGATTGTTTTCTTCAGTACATATGGCAGTATATCACTATAGATAGTCACCAGTCGCATGATTGGACTTGCATAATTTGATCTTGATTGTAGTAAATAAGCTTCTGTCATTTACATTACGAAAAATCCATTTAAATCTTTACTACGAACCAACTTGTGTCAGTTTGGATGTTTGTAATGAACATGTTCTATCTTCGTGACCTCTCATCACCATTAATATTTCAGGTGTTAAAGCTGAAGTATGCCCCAGAGAGATTCTTAAAACCCTCGTTTTTATGAATTTGACGCCAATCAAATTTGTTACTTTATTAATGTCTATGTGTTGTATTCTCAGATAATTGATTTCCACACAAATATCAGGTATGTCCACTTAATAATGGGAGGATCGAGTAGGAAATTTCCATTTTAATCTGAATCTGAAAACCCAACTGAGTTTTAATGTATTTAAGAAATAAATAGATTGGACAGGTTTTATGGAGAGTGAAAATAATCTTTATTACAGACACAAAAAAAGCAATGTGTGTAGGTAGACAAAGGGATGATCATCTCTACTAGATCAGTGACTAGATCTTATTTTCGTCTTTCGAGGTGCAACTATGTAGAACCAGTCATGATGAAAGTCAAATAAAGTTATTAGAAATTAAAGCTCTACATGATACCAGAAACCTCGGATTCTTTATCTTATGATTGCATCACTATGTAACTGGTCACTCTTTCATAACATTATTCGACTGGAACTTACATACATTACCCAATTGGCCAGAAAATGGATGAAGCAGCATTTTCTGGGCAAAGTGGGTGTTATCTTATATATTGGAAAGACAAAAACACAAGTCAATGCCAGAACTGAGAAACATCAATGATTTTCTAGGCCTAGTAAAAAATACACAATGAAGATAAATAGTTGAAAGAAAACTCTTTAAAACATGTTACCATTAAAATGACACATTGCACAAAAATGTGAAACAAAAGAAAACCTATTGCAATTCAAAACTACATGATTGAAAAATTCAAAAAGAAAAACCCTATAATGCTGAATACAATACAAAAATATTATTTAAGAACGAATGTATGATAATACCTTTTAACATAGAAAATCAGTACAAACTGACAAAGACAAAAATGCCCCTTTAAAAAAAACGACATATTTTTGAATATAAAAAATATCTT